AATTATGTTTGTGAATAAAACCAATAAATATATACAAACTTTTGATTTTAACCTATGTATTTATATACAAAAATTAATTAAATAAGAGTTTTAATGTGTATTTATTACATTATACCTAGCACCTCGCTGTTAAAAAAAAATATGTGTTGTGATATTTCATATTATATGCAGATTGCAGACATTTGCAATGATTGCGTATGTTTTAACTTTTGAATATTTGTCAATAACGGACTATAATACTTACTAAACAGATTTTATTTTTTTAATTAACATTGTTTAAATTAACAATATTTGCATTTTGAATACCTACCGATATTGTAGTTCTAAAGCACGTAATAAAAGTACGATGATACACCATACAGATAGTAATTTTAATATTAGCTTTTAGGTAAGGATATACAAGAAAATATTATTCATGATAAACAAAATACTCGTATAAATGTATAATTTCTTTACTATTTGTACCAGTATATCAACAAATGAACAATGAATAAAACGTCGATAACAAATTAAACAATGCTATAAAATTCAAATTATAGATAAGGCCATAAAGTGGACACTAGGTAGATATATAATATTATGATGGCTATAGAAAAAAAGTGGCTATTCAATCTTATAGCGTACGCGTTTGTATTGTGATGAATTGAAAAATATTTTTTCAGAGATTGAAAGATCAGTTATCGGTTAATAATTATACAGATGTATATACAATATAATATATCATACGAAATACGCTACAAGTCTACAACTTCGTTCTACGGTTGTATGATATGAAAAATTACGCGTATTATGTCTATAATATATATGTGTCGTTGTTCTTTTATATATTTACTATATTGAAATAATATTACAAAGTAGGTATGTATATAAAAGTATATATAAGATATTGATGTTGTCACGTCTGTTATTTGACAATAATAAGGATGGATGAATATATACGTATAGATATACTTACAATATTAACAATAGTTAATAATACTAATACATATTGTGTTATTATATTATGAAATACATACCTCTGACTCATTGTGCAACACGTTGTCACTGTTTGTCACAACTTTTTAGTTTTTTATCATTATTTTAGAAATACATTCGAGTATATATATTGGAAAGTATTATTTTACTGTTTATGTAGTATACGCGTAGACTCGATAATCAATAATATAATATATAATTATAAATTATCATATTTTTAAATTTTTAAATTAAAATTTTTATAGTTGTTTTATAGTTGTTTTCGAGCGTTTCATAAAAATTTGAAATACGCATATTATATTAAAACCAAGACGTATATATATTTATTTTTTTACGGCACTATAAAGGGGTACTTTGTTCTTCTAAACAATTTTTTTTTTTTTTTGTAGCTACGTCGTTAATTTTAAGCAGTTACAAAGATAGACACAGTTATTATTTTGTATATTTATAAATTTACTTTACCTATGTTAATGGTCACATACTTACATCACACATAATATATAAACGTATTTATGTATTAACAATTTAATTATATAGATACCTACTATAGTTATTATTATTTCATCATATATATGAATATTTAAATAAACCATACCTAAATATGAAGCTGGACATAAGAGACAGTCTGTGTATACATGTAGGAACTTGTAACCGTAGGTACATATATTGTATTTTACGGTTCGCTGTCCGAGTCCGAGTGAGCCTGAAAAAAGCATAACAATTCACGTAAAATCGATAATTACATAGAGATGTCAATATGTCATTATATACATATATATGTGTGTCTGTGTGTATGTGTGTATATGTAGTTATTACATATATAAGCTTATCATGAGTTTAATGTATAATTGTATAAATGTATATTGTATAATTGTATAAGTGTATAACTATGGGATAATTCGACAACATACCTTACACATTTCAAAACTAGCATATTATACCACATTCCAAAGTCTATTATTATGTTGTTGTAACCGATTAGATATACTTGATGAAGAACTTGACGACAAAGCTTGTTGTATATAATTTGCAGAGCTCACGCTAAGTTAGATTATACATAATACTATATTTTTGACTGTAGATTCTCACAAAAATCTACAGTGAAATCACTTCGCTAATTACAAATGAATACGAATTGTAAAAAATATAGTCGATAGTTGCAACAGGCATGTCGACAACCGTCTACATAGAAATTTTAAAGCGAAATTATGAAGGCTATTATCTCTGTAGGTACTAGGTACTACCTAGCTCTGTCCTAAACTAATAATTATTATAAGATTTCTTAAAAATAAAAAATAAATGCTTGAAAGTTTAAATCAATGACCATACTTATCATTTATCAAGGATGGTCGAATGGAGAATGATGAGAGGGTTAAGGGGATGAGGGAATATGTAGGTACTCTCTTCCATGACCTTTTTCAATATTTATATTAATATAATGTTAATATAGGTATATTATTGAAATTTTGTATAAAAAATAATGTGAATAATAATTAATTTTCTTATAATAAACTAGTATGTAGAATCACGGAGGTACTATACTTATTAAATATGCTTAGGCTAAAAATAATTAATTACATAAATAATTTTGGAGAAAAATATCAAAATAAAGAGAGGAAATGTACCTAGCATTTAACATGAATCATTAATCTAAGATAAGAAGAAGAAGAATTATATAAATAAAATAAGTATTAAATTAATAGTTCGAACATAAAGTATTCACCTATATTATAAAGTATAAACTATACCACTCTTTAGTTTTTTCTCATTTCTGCGATAGTTAAATTAAAAATATTTATAACCCGTTTAAAATGACCCAAGGAAATGCTTTCCCAGTACGTTCGTGACGCCGAAAACCTAATTATTATAAATTGTTTAATTGACATGAATGACACGTCATTCTAAAAGTCGTTTTAAAAGGGGTTTATTAATATAGCTCTAAAGCCCGCGTAAATTATAAAATAAACTAGCAAAAAAAAAATAAATATATTTATTAGTTCAGCTATAATAATAATTGTTACCTACCTTAACTTTTTAATTTATGTTTTTAGTTAATAAATTGATCTATACATTTAAATCCTTGTAATTCGTGTTTAAAAATCTTTTTCACTGATACCTATACTAACTTTTAACCGAATTCATGTGTCATACTGTCATAGGTGGTTAGAACTTACAAGACTTTAATATAAATATCGTGTAAATTGTTACCTAATATTGATATACAAAGTATGTACACATTATACAAGTATTACTATATTAACACTTATAATCTGTGATAGTAGAATAATATCTCTTATTCAATTAACTTTAATCCAATTATAATTACGTAAATGCATATTATAATTATCAAAATCTTCAAATAAAACTACACTAAATAATATCGCTGATATATTTTATAATAACTAGGTACCAGTCTACAAATAATAATATGTCATCTAATACTCGAATAAGTATTAATTAATAATTATCAATGATAATGAGTAATGACTGATGTGTAACCATACGAATAACAATTACTTATTAAAATAAACTATAAAGTTAGGACCATTAGATATATATGAGTATAATATATTACTTATTATATTATTTTTTTCTTTAAAAACCTTACCTAGGAAGTAAGTAGTAACTTTCAGTAAAGTAGTTAGTACTTAAAAGACGTCGAGTGTACTCACGATAGTAGCGGGAATTAATATGCCCTGGAATAAATTTTGAAATTATCTAATGAACATCAATGTAATAACATTAAAGATTAAACATATAGTTGGGTACTTGTGTGGGATATAGTAAATAAATAACACTGGGAAATTTGATTAAGTACTCGTTTGAATTTAATCAATTATTTGGATAAAAACTGGTGACTATAAACAGATACTACATATTAAAGAGGAGGTGGCGATCATACCAGGTAGAATATGACATATGTACATATTTGCATTCGTAAATATAATAAGTTATTAAAATTATATGATAAAAATTAATATAATATAGGTAATAAGATTAACACTAACAATTAATAATATATCAATACACCTACTTAATTATTATAAATATAACCTTTATTGTTAAATAAATATTCATTAATATTCTTTGTTAAATTTTTTACTTATTTTACTTAATACGTAAAAAATTGCTATCAACAAAAATGAGTGTTTATATTTTAAGAATGACGGTGGGGCTGGGAAAAAAATTAGTCCGATGACGCGAAAACTGAATAATATTACACAACAATACATATTATGTAGTCATGTAGGTAGATATCCACGTTTCTGCGAGTTTGACTTTGTATAAGTAACCAAGTTGGTACAATGTACAAAATGCACAATGGTACTTACCTATATCATATTATCACAAAACATAAGTTACCTACAACTTATAAGTTATAACTGTTTTAAATTAATCGAAATTATTATGGTAGGTACCTAGTCTTATAGTTTAAAATCCCTCCAGTGACCAGTCTGTGGTTAATTTTGCCTAGATAAATCTATTTTGTTGTTATCAACCACATTCATTTTAAAAGTGAATATTTTTTGCGTTGCCATAATTGTTTTTCTTGCAACATAATTTTATAATTTTATAACACAAAATATTTTGTTATTACAACAAGGCGCAGCACCCAGATTATGCCACATTGCCTGCCTCTTCATGTACCCATCATCCATAGGCGATAAGCTGTAGCTGCAATTTGTTATTACTTATTAGTTATTTAGTTATTACACACTTCCACAAGTCATAAAATCATAGTACGATTATTATTTATTACCCAACACTCGTTGGGTAAAGAATCTAACATTCTTGTGGTCCCAGCAAATTAATATTGTACAATCGCGAATTACCGTGCGCGTTTCGGGACGACGTAGCGTGCGGTAATTTCGGTCGTGGCGATAGGACACGCTGCCGCCGCCGAGTCCGTTACCCCCACCCGGCGGTTCACAGACCCACCGACGCTTTCACATCGTGGACGCAACGTTTCGCTGCGCGCGTCACTACCACAAGATTGTAATAATAAGCAATAACACAACCACCTAAATAATAATAACAATATTGTTACCCGTGATAAATCGTTTGTCGTTATCAGGGTCAAGCCGCAGTGTCCGTAGTTCGCGTGAGCTGCGTGTCGTCCGTGTCATTGTCTCCCATTATTACCGTCGCCGTTTTTAACTTTTATTATAGTATTAATTACTAATAATTATTATTTATTATTTTATTGCATATTATTTAGATCGCAATAACCGTGTTCGTTCGGTCGCGTGCCCCATATATCCGTCCTCTACAATTCGGTGATTATACATTTTAAATATTGTCAATTGAGTCCGCAAAGTACCTTCTACCTACACGTACGTGTACGATGACGCCGAGCCAGATCCGTAAGTGTCGAACAATTATAATATAATTTTTATTCGTTTTTTCACCATCAAATGATTCATGTCTGCCGTACTCTGTGGTAGGCGGTATCGCGACCTCCGCAACTATGGTTATTATAAAGCCCTCTGTATTAATGTGTTCGTACGACTGTTTTTTAGCGTTTGGCATATGTTTCCCCGGATTCATTTTCGTCTTGTCGCCGAGTTTTTAAATGATATATTGATATTACACGTAACTTTAATACAATATGTTTGTTAAACACCATTTGTCGTCGTCTGCAGTCAATTATTCGCATAAATGGTGAAAGTAGTGCGTACTGCGGACATATGACACTTAGATACCTATCGCTTTCTACGCGATAAATGTTTAAATATTATTATTACTCTACTTTGCTCGGACTTAAATCCAGGAATCCAGGAAATTGGATGATGAAAAATAAATAGTTCAAATAAACGTCCTCTGATGTCCCGAGGTCTTAGCTTTGCTTTTCGCGATCTATTTTAACCACAACAGTTTATTTATTATTACACGCTTTTATAGTACAAATTATATTTTTAGAATTTCGACTATATGATTGCTCACACGGTCAACTCTCTGACCAGATGTCTGAGATAAATAGATAATATAAACTAATCTACATACATTTTTATTTTTGCATACAAAGAAGTAATCATGTTTTTAATTATTTCCTGTTTACATTATAGGTAGGTATTTATGTTTACTTTGTTTTTGAATTGATAGCAAAACGGATATATATTCTCATTATAAGTATGGTTATTATTTTTTTCTAATAATTTTATCTCATTTTTATGGTTTTGATGTTTGAATTCTAGTTTTTTGTTCACTAAAATATTGAAACTTTTAAATCTTAATACAATAACATATATTTAAGTAATACTAATATTAAGAATTAATTAAGTAAATAATTATCCATCTAAATGTTTATCTGAATCTAAAATATTTATGTATGACTACTTTTAATTTTATAATTTACTATACCTATTTATATATAATTGGAAGTAGTGATAAACTATCAAATTTTAAGCTGAGCTTGAAGTAAAATTACTTTTTTGAAGCCTCTATCAGTTTTTTTTTTATACATACAATTTTTTTTATATTTTGGAAGATATAAAAAATAGGGATCCCTTTAATACACCTACTAACTATATATTGTTTGATGAAACTTGACAATTGTAGAACGTATTTTTAATGTCATCAAATTTTACTCTTACTAGTTCTACTTATAGAAATTATCTAGATAAACTTTTTGTGCTTTTGTTTATTACTCATACAGTCACTGTTTTTTCTATTTTAATTTGATAAAAAATTTGTTTAACCTATATTTTCTATATTGATAATATTAATAGTTAAGTTAATAATTATTATATGTTATTAATTAATAAATATTTTAAATGACTAATAATAGACTTAAATTTGTTTGGTTTAGGTTTGTACAAAATAATCTAATAACATTTTGTAATGAACACATTATCAGAGTCTGATGTCATTGACAAATCACTCCATGTTCCTGAAATTAACCAAATGGCTAATGATAATGAGTTAATATTATCACCAAAAAAACATCTTGTTTGCTTTGCTACTGTCAAAGGGGATTGTTTAGTGACAAAAAACGGTGCATCGTATGCTGGGATTAAGGAGTGTCTGCTCAGTGAACGAATGGTTGATAAAGACGAACCAATTGAATCTGAAACTCAAATCACAGACTCTGCAGTTCCTGATCCTGATACTGATAGTGGAATGGAATCATCAGCATCTAGCTGGGATAGATCAGTTAATGAAGTCAAAGAGCATGCATTTGCTAGGCTTGAAGAAGAGTTAAAAAAAGCCAATGAAACATTAAAACTCAGGGATGAAGAAGTATCACGTTTAAGTAGAATACGTGCTGATGTCGAATCAGAATTAGAAGAGTTAACTGCTAGTCTATTTCAAGTTAGTAACTTTAATACAGTGTTATCAGATAATTATTTTAATACATTTTTATGGTAGGAAGCTCATAATATGGTAAAAGAAGCAAACTTACGTCAGGCAGCTGCAACAAGAGCATTAAAAGAATCTTCAATGAAAGTTGATGTTTTATCTGCAGAAGTGGCAGCATTAAAAACTCTTGTACTAACTTCTACACCAAGTCATCCTAATTTATCAAGAGAAGATAGTATCTCGATGCCAGGTAATAATTTATTTTAAAAAAAAATAGTAATAAATGTAATATGATTTATAATTTACAATAATATTCACAATTTTATTGTTAGTTTATTGTTTATATTAATAGATATTATATAAATATCTATACCATGGATTAAATGCAATAATTAATTTACCTGTCATATTTTTACATAAATTACCAAGATATTATTAATCAAACTTTATTTTTGTAATTCTTTTTCTTAAAAATAAAAACATTTACTGTATCATTTGGTGGATTGGGTATGTTCTTAATCCAAGGGTGCCCATTTTCATCTGTGTATTCACTAAAATGTTTTTTTACTACACACTCCATTCCTAGATTCTGAGCTATTTTTGCACTCAAGTAATTAGTACAGTCCATGCAAATAATTGAGATATCATCATTAAGTAAAGCTGCTTCAAATGATTGTTTTGCCACAGCTGTTGATAATCCAAGATTTCGATATTGTTGTGCTGTTGCTAAAGTTTTAATCTCCCACATTGTGTCTACATTTAACATTTTGAATAGACATGGCTCACTTTGAATTGATGACCAGAATCTTAAAGCTCTATATAAATCTATGTTACATTTATTGTATAGATCTAAAAAAGTTAAAAAAATAAAATAAAAATTAGTTTTTATAGAATATCATGTTAACTAAATCAAATTTACTAACCAGCATTAATTTTTTGTTTTAATGCATTATCAGGTTTTGTTATACTATTTATAGCAAGAGATGCTACAGCTTTATTATTTTTATCAATGGCTACTAATGTGAAGTCGCTTTCTTTATATTCATAAAAGGTTTTACTTAATTTTTCAACATCTATTTTTTGAGCTTTGAAAACTGGTTCATCTAAATAAAAATCCTTCATTGTTGATTTTATACTTGGTATGTGGTCCTCTCTTGCACAAATAATTTCTATGTTCTCTGGATATTTATTCATATTCTAAAGAAATATGTAAAATAGTCATAATTAAAGAAATATTGTATATCTGTTTTTTTTATAATATCTGTTAAGGTTTTACATTGTAACATTTTGATAATAAACAAATATTTCGTAAATACATTGATGAAAGTTGAAGTATTTGTTTTTGAATAAACATTATATGTAATGATTATTATTTTATTAAATATGTATTTTTTTTTATAAGTAGGTTATTACAAATTTATTTTTTCAAGTATAAAATATTAATTATGTTTAACTGTTTTATTATTATTACGTCATATGCATTTATAATTATAGTAATTTTATTTTAAGCCAATCTATAAAAATTATTATTCAAGTTTATTATTTTTAAGGGGGACTAAGTGGAGTTGGACTATTTTATCGTAAACATAAGAGATCTCCTTCGCACAATAACCTAAAATATGGCCGAGAAAATTCACCCCCGGATTCTCCACTAAAGCAAAAGTCTAATCAAGCAGTAACAGACACAGAAACTTTAAACATATCTAATAGTGCTGAGGTAAATACAAATGTTATGTATTTTTTTTTTTACCTGTCATATATTACCACAATTTTTACAATGATATTTCTAGATTGATCCAAATGTCCATCGTGAATTTGTACTTTGGATGAAATCTCCTACTTTAGACAAATCAGATGCCTTCATAAGTAGAATATACAGAGAAGATATCGATCAATGTCTAGAGTTTAATAATTCAACTTTGGCAATGGATGTTAGAAATGCAATAGAATCTGGTAATCTTTTTATTGAGTCAATGGACAAGTCAAAATCTCATTTCCCAAAGTAAGAAAAAAAAATTAACTTTAATTTTCTGTATTTAATGTAGTTGGAAGTGAATTCTTTTGTTTGATGATACCTAAATGTATTAGTTAAAAAAAAAAATAGTTTTATTAATAATTTATATTAACTATAGTGAACATATCCCAAAGTTCTCTCAATGATTAAATGAAAGTTAATAGATATATAGATTTTATTAAATCTATAAATTTGACATTATCTATTTAGGATTCAGTTTTACAAAAGTGATTTTAATAAATGATTTTATAAGTAATTAGTGGTAAAAATATTTACTTAACTAAACTACCATGCCTATGATAATAATAAATGTAATTAAGATATTGTTTATTTAAAGTAATAATTATTCATTTTTTTTTTTTAATTTTAGAAAATGTGCTTTAATGGAGTTACCATTGCTATGTCTCTATAGAATGAATTTAGGCGGAGCAGATGGCGAATGCTATTGCATATCACAAATTTGTCGAAATAGAGTGAGTTTTGTTTTATACTATTTTAATTTCACATTAATTCTTTATGTTTGATACCACCTAATTATTTTGATTTATGTTAAATAGCAAGTAACTGAAATTATGTTTTTAGATTACAGCTGTATGTGATTTCCTCAATTATCTCAGATACATTCAAAGAGGCTTGGTCAAAAGTCTAGGTTTGTAACACAGTAATATATATCTTAACTTTTTACAGCATAGGATGAACAAATACTTCTATTGTTAACAATTAATTGATTAATAGTTGTAAATAGTACTTTTGTTTTTTTTATTTAAGAATAACTATAATATCAGTTAAAATTTCTATAAATTTAAATTATCCAATTTCATTACATTATAATATATTTAGATTATTGTAATTCTATGTTATTAATTATTATATTAATAATTTAAAGATAATGTCTAGAATTTCTAGATTTAATTTATATTTAATGAAATGTAATTGTTTCCTATGCATTCTGAATAAAATATTATCATTAAAATGCTATTGTACATCGAAAATAAAAATTAATATAATAATATTATATTAGTGTCATCTTTAGGATAATCAGCTTTAATGGAGTTCATGTAAATATCGTTTAACAAAGTAGTAAAAATCTTCAAATAAAATAATTTATAGGTTTACGCCTCAAACACTAGTTACAATGGGACATAATAAGATTCAAACAAGCATACACATATAACTATAATATAAGTAATATTTATTATTAATTTTGCATAATGTTTAATTTACATACGGATTAAAAATCATTTATTATATTTTCACGTAGAAATACTGTAGGCAAACTAAAAAACTGTAGATTTAAGAATAAATTTTCATGTACATTTTTAATTTTAACCCATAAAATTGTTACTACACGAGTTCATTGAATTTTAGTATTAACACTAGATATTTTTAGTTAAAAGCAGAACACTTGTAAAATAAAAATGTATATCTTTATGGTATATTGCTTTGAATTGCTTAAACATATTTTAGATTCTGAGGATATTAGAAGTTATATTGTTTTAAAATAATTTTATTTCTCACTGCAGTAAAATTGGTAAATAATTAAATTTAATCATATTAATGATAAAAAATTGAACGCAATTTGCAATTTGTACCTTTTCTAAATAAAAAAAAATTCACAGATTAAATATTTGTTAGTATAGCAAAATCTGTAGTAATTCTCTCACTTTGCTCCAAATCTAAAATTAAAAACAAATTTTGTTGTGAATCAATTTATCACATCATGCACTCGTGATAGCGAACAAACTTTTTGCATTTCTCATTTTATAACAAAACTTAAATTAGATAATATAATAAAATTATCAAGAAAATATACTAAATGTAAATACTTTTATTTTAACAAGTTATTATCAGTACAAATGTATTGTTCTAATTTCAATAAGTTATACGGTTATACCTATTTAATAATTAAAATTGATAAAAGGCTTACATAGACATAGAACACTATTTATACCTTACATAATTAATTTTGTTATTTTTATCATCTAATTTGAATAATTAGGTTATAAAATTAGAAATGAGAAGAGTAGCTTTGATAAAACTTATTTATTTTTAACAAATTTAACACAATATGTTACGCTAACATCCATTTAAATAATTTTTAATGTATATTTACACACCATATTATTTAATTTTCACAAAATGAGCACCAATAGCTTAGTTAAGTATAATTGCAAAACATTGTGAAAGCTTATTTTAATAATAAATAATTATTATGCTGATGAATATACATTTTTAACCTTTTTATTAATATTTCATGGGTTTTTTTTTTCTAGAAAACGATATGTACTGGGAAATCGTAAGACTGCGAAAACAAATGATGTTAGCTAAGTTGGGTTTAGCTTTGTCATCATAGTATTGTTAATGTAAGCAACTAAAAAAAGGAAAATCTGAATATGTAATATTATTATAGCAACGTTATTAAATCATGATCGAAGGTATAAATAATACAAATGTAAAGTGCAATTTTTGTGATCATATCTTGTGATTTTTTTAAATTTTATTGGATAGTAAGTATAAATATATATTAAGTATAATTTAAATCTGATGATATTGTGGATTGAAAGTGCAAGACGCCTTATAGTACACCTATCAGTCTTATAATGAAATATCTATATCAACAGTAACTGTTGGTTAAATGTCAAGCTATTCTAAAGCCTCTGGCTACCCCCCACCAATCTACTTAGTTTTTATATTTTTACTTATCTCTGTGCAACTATAAATTTTAATTGAAAAGTGATAAAAAATTATATTTTTACCATAATTTAATTTTGGTAGGTACATGCAATTGTCTTGCCAATTTATGTGAATGTGATTTTATATTATATTATTATATAAGGCAGTTAATATATTTTGTATTACTTACTGAACAAATAGTTTATAATTGTTTACGAAAGATCTGAAATGGTGAGATACATATTTTATATTTTTTGTTTTTTTTTTTATAGATATATATATATATATATATTTGTATACTTCAATAGTATATTGATATAATCAGTATGTAAAACATAATTATACAATATATTTTAATTAATAATAAAAACATTTTATGCAATAAATCGAATTATTAAAATATTAAATATTCTTGCTGTAATTTATATATTTTAACATATATGAACTACTCTAATTGGTATTATGCGATTTATTGTCTACTGACACAATAACACATTATATTATTCTAACACCACTGTTTTTCAATTTTTCATGAAGTCAATAACAAACATATATTTGTTGACTGATGAGAATATATGTGACATGGGACAACTGTTATCATTTTCTACAATACCTCTTCACCAGCTTTCTTGCAGTGTGTTTTTGCAAATTTTAAATTACAAGTAACCAATAACTGAAGGTGTCTGAACTCTGAATAGTGAATATGTTATTCCCAAATTTTTTTTTTTAATTGTTTTAATGCAATGTTTTATACTAGGATTATAACAGGTATACTTAATAATAAGTTTTGTTGAATTCTTACGTCAGGTTTGACATCTATTCTGTTGAGGTATTTTATTTATGTTGATACAAAAGCTGAGACCCTGTTTCATACATATAAGTGGTTGCAAAAGGTAAAAAAAATACCAATACGGTGTTTATTGTACAAACACGAATTACTTTAATTAATTACTATTTAAAGATGCACAATCTACACACTCGTATACCTATGATCATTAGCCATTACTAATTGTAAGTTGTTTTTTTTAAATAATTTTCTTGAATATTTTGTTAAAAACATTTTGTGAATTTTTTAAGTTCTATGGACTCCAGGGTTTCGCAGAACACAGTTTAAGAAACACTAATACAATATATTGATATCATATTACCTATATAATAATTCTTTACCATTTGGAAAAATCATCTTCACCGTGTTACTATGAGGGATAATTTGTATTACCTGATTTTTTTAATTTTTAAATCGTAATCTTTTGAATACTTTGAACAGATCCGGAAGTAAGGAATAATATATAGGCAATAATTATGAATGTAATTAAATAGCTTGTATTGTATGTACCTATGACGATCAAGCACGGCACTAGAATTTTTTTTCTTATTTTACAAATTTCAAACATATTTTATTAAAATTTTAGTAGATTTTTTCCTTATTAGATAATACTAATAGATTAATCCACGGTAAAAAGACTGAAGATGTCATTTGTTCAAACTTCATTAATTAAATTATTATAATCTATACTAAATTCAATTTATTTAGTAGTGACAAATATATTAAATAAACTAAATATTGATATTTTACACAATATCTGTTTATGCACCAAACAGTAAATGATTGAAAATCTTAAAACATTAAAATAGTTAACAAAAATGTATAAAATTGCATCAATACCAGAAGAAATAATATTTTTTTAAATAAAAATTTGTGATTACTGATTACCTACCTAATAATATTATTTAACTAGTAAATTTCAAGTTTTTAGTTTAATACATTTTTAAATTGATATTTGCATAGTATATTATGTATTAAAGAATCTACTTTGTATTTTTTATTGAATTTTGGAGGTTAAAATAGTTAATGAATATATATTAAAATGTAGATACTTAAAGAAATCCTTTCTTTTTATTAATTATTTAGTAACTTCTTACACAATATTAGTGTATTAATTAAACATATTAAAAATAATAAGTAAACTAAAAATATTTTTACTTGTATACAACAAACATAAGTTAATAATGTTCTTCGGTTTTTGTGTATAAAATATTAATATTATTAAATCGGTTTTAATAACAGCAAAAACTTAAAACGCATATCTTCGAAAATACGAAAGTATTTACATAATATTACTAATTTTTAAAAAGAATATTTCATAAATTCTCTGATGTAGCTCTTTTAAAAATAATGTTTTATTACTTTATTATATCGTACATATTTTTTAATAGGGAGCTGAAGATATAAGTGTTTACTGCTTGATTGCCCAATTATTAAAAATCTTAATTATTTATTCATTTTTAGATATTTAAAAACCAACTTTCAACTATTATTAACAAAAAATGACAAAAATTGATTAACGGCGATAAAACTAACATTTAACACTATTTTGGGTTACTATATAAATATAATATAATTTTTATTTACGCATAATACAGTTGAACTAATATTTAATTATTGTCTCCGTAGAAAAAATGATAAATGACCTTTAGCCTATGTAATTGATACCGAAGTATATTCAAATATACATCACTATACATTGGCATATATCTGATAAAATAGAAAACCTTAACTTAGCTATTTACTGATATCAGATTTAAATACATATGTATTTATGAGATTTTTTCTACATTATATAGGAAAATAAAAATTTGTCCTCGTAAATTTCTATATTTAATATTTATATTAGCTACATTGTTATATTTATGTATGTTGGTTTAACAGTGATAAATGTGTGTTTTGACTGTTTTCTTTTCGTGTCTGCATTACGTTTTTGATCATTCATTAAGTAAAAATTAAGAGGGAAAGTTTTAAGAAACATCTCAGTACTTAGATATTCCTAGTACCTATTTAGTATTTCATAGAAGAATAACTAACGAAAAATTACGTAAACGGGAATATTTATACAATATTATTGTCATAAAATATTTACATTATTATTTTCTATACATAGTATTAAGCATTTTGATATTACACAACGCAATTATCGAAATACTTTGTACTACCTCTACTCATTTTAAGTCATTTATTCCTCAAATCTTATTCAAACTAATTTATAGTACATCAGTATCTGACTATTAGCTTAGAAGTTATATGCGATGTTTCTGGAAAACATTATACTAACCTACTGGATTACTGAATAATAAAGAACTCAAGAACATAATAATATAAATTTAAATTTTAGTATAACAAACTAGTAGATATTCTTAGAAATAGATGTCGATTTACCAGTCTCTTCCTCACAGAACCTTTTTTCCGCCTACAATGTTGAGATACATAATTCAAATTTAACAGATCTATTACAATAACTCACCAAACTATTCATAAAAATATGCATTCGTAACCTATAAATAGCATATACATAATGTAACAGAAACGAGTTCTCCTTTTTTTTTTTTTTATTAAAAAAAATTACTTATCAGTTAAATGAATTAAAATGAATATTATGCGAATCCGATGTATATTTTATTATTATTGTATATAAGTATAAAATTAATGATTATATACTATACCTACGTACTTCGTTTATATCCGATTCGGCGATATTTTTTCGTTTAAACAATACTATGTTTTTGTATATAAATATATATTAAATAGAATTAAGAACATAAATTAATAGTAAATTGATCGACACTCGACAGTGACACTATCACTATCAGAGTATCAGAGCATTCAGAACCCATCGTCGACTCGGTTATAGTTCACGAAAAATTTGTTTGCTTAGTTCAAAAGTCAGACGTTAGGATCGCGGCGTATGCGTTAATTGTTTTTCGGCTGAGTAGGTCAACTATTTTATGTTATCTAATGCGTTGTGTTGCATTCGCTTGTTGTGTGCAAAGGTTTTGGCGGGAATCTCGTATAGTCGTATGCCGGTCTAGTCAGACCGTTGAATTTATTTTTAATTTTTATTAAAATATCTTATATACTGTTGTTTGTTGCATCAACCCTCCTTCACAAAAAAAGGACACTCCGCAAAATCCATGTAAAAGAATGTCATAAAGTATAAAAAAATTCAGCAAATTTGTAATATCAAAAAGAGGTTTAAGCAACTTCATGTATACATTTATTATAAATAAATATTTATTACTCATTGAACACAGATTAGAAAAAAAACCTATTTATAATTTTTTTTGTATTTAATGAAGTTTATTTATTTAATACAAATAATTGAACTTAAATTGACTATTATATTTGATTGTGTTTAATTGTAATAGATACAAAAATATTAAAGTATATAGAGGATGCATGTATGATGTGTAGACTTGAAAACATGCTTTGTATAAACTATAAACAGTTGTATCTAGTTATCCTATTTAATAATAAAATTTTTTATAAATTTTGATTTTTGAATGAAAAATTAAATATTTTTAATAGCATATTTTAGTATTTTTACATATTTTTAGAGCATGAAGTCCCTGGCCCCATTTATAATCATATAATATATTTTCTGTAGTAATAATAATGTATTATATATTATAAAACATAATTAAAAATATTTCAAATATTTATGTTAAATGGTTGTTTACTTTTGAATATCAAAAAAAAAGAGATAGGTTTTATTAAAATCCGATTTTGAGTAAATACATTGACATATTTCTCGGTTTTTTTTTTTTAAAGCATTGCGTATTCTTACTTTTTACACCCTCGAATACCAATTATTTATTAATGATACTTACTGTCGCCATAAAAAAATTTATTGTAATTTTATACTGACTAAATAGACAAAAATGACAATATTTCAATTACATAATATACAGCAGATTTATTTATCCCGACTTTTTTATTTTAGACTTTTTGGTAATCTACCAAATATATATATATATATATATATATATATAATAATTTGTATACGATGTAGACCATGGTCAAAAATCAAAATACGACAGATGTTATACCACGGTAAATATGACGATTCCCGTTCATATGGTATATACCTACGGTAATCTTATCCTAGTTTAAACGTTTCACCATATTTTCGTCGTCAAGTCTTGAAAATATTATATTGGCGCCGCGTCGGTTTGTACAATTGTACATAACTTTTATTTAACTGTTCGTGTACCTAGTACCTTCTTGGGGTCACCCGATTCATGATCAAATCGTTTTCGCGTTACCGACGGGCGTGTTTACACCCGATAAAATTCTTGCTGAACAAATTGCAGTATACTTATAACTTTTAAGTTACATGCTACGTCATACTTTGAGCCTCATCATTTCATCCGATTCGATGAAAAACGTAGACCGTTTTTCGATGTTGACTTATTAAGTGTAATCGCTAAGGTAAGATAACTCACATAGTACCTATTATAATAACACCTACTATACATCATTCATAATCAAGTTCCTTGAAAAAATGATCTGTTGGTATTTAATATGTAATAAGACTACTGCTTAAAATATTTATGGTAGTTATTTACTACATTTTATATTATAGACTTATACAAATATTATAAAATACCTACCTATATTGTCTTTCAATCGTTTACTGTGTGTGACGATGTTTATTATAATAAAATGTTTAAAAATTCATTATCATGGTGACATGGTGTTCATTTTAATTTTTATAAATTATCAAAGCGAAATTGCCTCCTGTATAACATTATTTAAATAGTATTCATACAAATGTAGATATCTGAATATTTTATCATATTATCATAATGTAAAACTGAAGTAAAAAGTAACCAACTATTAATTATTATTTAGGTATATTTTCAAAACTAGCTGACCCGGTCACGCAATGCTGTGGCTGTTATAATCGGTTGAATTAATACTATACTAAACTATTTATAAAATTATTAATTGGTTAGAAAATTAGAAAATTTTATTTTATTAATTAGACATAGATGCTTAACTATTTTTAAAAGTTATTTTTAGCTATAAATTATAATTAGAAGTATAAGTAGTATAAACACAACATCAGACACTCCCAAAATAAAACCAGTTATTATTTTCTTCTCTCTATCTTTCATATATCTCTCTTATATATTTTTTACCGAAATATGAACTATCCTATATTTTAAGTTGTACCAAATCACACTTATGAGCAAAATCAAAATCGGTCGTGTAGTTTTGGAGCACATTGTACGCTTAATCTTTATATATTATAACTTATAATATATATAAGTATTATAACGATAAACATTTCATAATACTTTTAGGGTCTAAGTATTAAGTATATTATCAAGAACAATCTGTTTTGCCCATTGGTATTTTTTTAATTTTTTTTATTGATCTTATTTAACCCCGGCAACTAAGGTCATTATCTGTGGATAGGAACAGTAGGTATTTTTGTGTAAGGTTTGGTTAGTAGGGTTGGAACACGTGTGTGTATGTGTGTATGTCATGATTTTTCACTAAGAACTCGTGTGGTCACCCATCCGAGAGCTAGCGACGCCGGCTGATGCTTGACCTCAAAATACATTAGTGACTGAGGCTGTGGTTGGCCACGGTTAGGTTAGGTTAACGACAGGCCAATTTTTTTTTTATTATTAATTAAAAACAATTTAAGAATTGACAATCTCTAAAATTAAAAATAAGTAAACTTGGTGATTTCAATAAGAAAAAAAACTAAACAATGTGATATTGATACAATAATAATATACCTAATATCATATACTGTATACCAGCGGTTCTCAAACTTTTTTGTTCGCGGAGCCCATATATTTCTAAAAAAAATTACGGAGCCCCAAAGATCAGAAATGTCTATATGAGACAACAAAAATTCATAAATAAATTATGTAATTACAATTAACAATTGTAAATGATTTGCTTTTTATTTTTATTTTCTGTAAAATACGAATATATACGATCCATTTGAATTTTTATTCACAAAAAAAATTGTTAACAATAAAAACAATTGATGGTAAAATAGGAAACACGTAATACGAAATACACACCGAAATAACAATATTTGTGTCAGCGGCCGATGAATAACGAGTAATGACTGAAGAATCAAGAAATTATTAGAACTTCGTAGAATGTAGATTGTACTATTGTAGATAAGTAAACTAAATAATTATCGTACAACATGTCAAATGAACAAAAAACCCGACTTTTATCTAATCTCATTTTGACAATGACACAAAATATGACATATGTGGATTTATAAATATTTTAAAGTTTTAAACGTTTAAAATAATTTATATTGGTACGGTCTAAATAATATTGATTATAAAAATAAAAATTTAACTAAGAAATATAATAATAATTTAATAATTTAAATTTAATTAATACAAATATTCTCAGGGAGCCACGGAGCCCCTAGACTACTCTCGCGGAGCCCTAGGGCTCCGCGGAGCACAGTTTGAGAACCGCTGCTGTATACAATATTCACATTATGACATGTCACAATCTTAATAGCTTTAATAATATGACAGTATATTATGGATTGTAATGTACTTAATATATAATAATTTAAATTCCATAAAACTTTAAAAATGTGTGATTTTTTAGGATTTATTTTACAAAATTGCGATATAAATATTTAGATAGTAGATAAATATTACAAAAATAAATTAACTACCATATTGAATACTTATAAAAAATAAATTTAATAAATTATGATGTTGGATTTAACATATTGATTGAATTTAACACACTTATTTTAAAACTGTTTAATTTTTTACAATTCATACACGTATAATCTATATTTTTGTATTTCTAAAATTTAAATCGTCTTCATTTTTAAAGAATTATACACAAATGTTTGAGGAAGTTAATCACATTTTTTTTAACTTTAGGGTAGGTGTATATTAATTTAAGTCTGAATGTTGATGACTTATGCATTTTTTTTTTTTTTTTACATAGACGATGCTTTTCTAGCTTAAAATATTATGTTTCATTAACATACAAATCTATAAAACTGATTAAATTTTACGTGTTCCAATATTTTTTTCGTTTTAGGTCATTTATTGAAGTTTTAAGGCATTATTACTATGTTTTACCAATTAAGTGAAATTGAAATAAAAAAAAAAAAACATAAATATTTTATTTTAATTACTATATTTTTCCCAAATCAATAATACACAATATAAGAAATAATTATATAACTATCTTTATGTTATATATTTAGTATATAACGTAGTACGGTGTAAATTAAAGTGCGTTGATAACAATAAAAAATTATTAAGGCATTTTTTTATGTTTTTTTGGTTATAAATGCATTTTGTATATGTTTTTAGGACATCGGCATCCAAGCCGATCAACAGTGATGAGCTTATAAATTATAATTTATAATATCATATACATTTTAAATTGTATTATTTATTTATTATTCGTGCGTGTTATCGCTACATCATAATGCAGTAGTCCCTAAACAAGTATCTTGTTCTTAAATAATATAAAACCTATAGTACCTATAGGCTATAGATGATATCATTTGTTACTATATTTTGTGGTTTAAATATAGGTACATAGCTAGATAGTAAGTAACTAATATGATATAATATGGTTATACTCGATTTTGAAAGTGCACCAGTAAATTATATTATTACATAGGTATTTTTGATGATCTGTATCATTTCTGAACGTAATATATGCGTAGGTAAATCGGCGAGGGAGCGGTTCGATTGTGGTTAAACTATAAAAATACTATAATGACGTGCGTATTGTTTTCTTATATAATTTGGTAGCGTGTATTTGGAAGAATTTTTATTTATTCACGTATATTCTACTATAAATGGAGTGTCGCTATTGAACGGTTTCTACATGGCATTTGTATTATTATATTGAATCTGATGAATTACTATTGAATATGAACAAACGGTTAATGTGGATTAAAAAGTTAATTAGATTACCAAATCGAATTAACTTGACTTATTCCGTAGCTAAAAAATTTATGTAAACGGTTTTGGGTTTATATGGACATTAATCTTTTTGGTGGGAATGGAAAATTAAATTATAATATTATAATATACGTGTTACCAAGTATAAAACGTTCACATCAAAATGTACGGGTGTTATAAGTCGAGTTTCATAAATTTAAAATGCATGTAAACCCGAACACTTTAACGTGCATTTAGTTAAGCTATGGGTTCACAGCTACTTCGTCAGTCGTGTCGTGTGGCTTTTATCGTTTTCTGATTGCTCGTGGTAATCATGGTATCGTTCGCTAACCACGATCTACCAAAAAATGTCTATAGTTATGTTGAGATTAAATTTTGGAGGCGACATACATGTTGCTGTAAACCCGACTTCAATTAACGACGACTGCGTATAAACGCGGTAATTGGCCTATTAAATGTCTAGAAATCGTTTGTGAAACTCCTCGCCGTAATGAATATAAAAATGTTACCGTGTTGTGGCTTTTAAATCGAAAGATCGTCATCGAGTATCATGTACTATCGAGTATACCCGCTTTACGCATATGTATATAACCACAGACTAGTTTAAATCTATATATATATTATATGATATATACGCGCTATATATACAACTATATCATCGCTGTTCTCTGGTGGTGCATGTCAGGTACTGACGCTGGGTACATCGAACGAAATCGTCGTTGACCCGATAACCCGTAATCGTCTCGACGGTCTTCGCGATGATGTCGTTGCAAGTAGTGACAGCGCCTTTGCTCGCGGTGTCGCGACACCGCGGACGCGACGACCGCCGCGAACGTTTCGGGCGATCGACAACGGAACGTTGGGCGCCTCGCATCACTGACTTCAGCAATCGCAGACTGCTTTTGACAAGCGGCAGTGTACCGCGGCCGTTTGTTGGCGTTGACCGCGGCGGGACGTCGTCGTCATCGCCGCTCGTCGACGGAACCGGCGGCAGCGTGTCACTGTAGTTTGTCGACGGCGGCGCGAGCAGACATTTTCGCGAGACGGGTCGGCCGCCGTGACCGACGCCAACGTCACTGCCGTTCGCTTGGGATGATCTGCGGCCTCGCATTCCGAGGAATCGGGACAGGCTGCTCGACAGCGTCTTGAGCACCGGTGACTGCAGGAAGCACACGCTGACCAGGCACGCGGCCATCGTCGGCAGGACCCGGAGCGCGGTTAGGGCGATTATGGCGGCGCACAGGCCGTGCGACAGCACGGACCATTCAGCCTGTCGCGTTCGGTGTGCGCATCCGCTGCCCGATTTCGCCGTACCGTCGTCGTCGGATCGTTTACACGCGATCATTTCGCGAGTCATCGCTGAGCGTATAATGCCGTGGCGGGACGGTCGACGACGAGTGTCGACGCGGTGACACTATGCGAAGGCCGCGCGCAGATTCGTGTTTGCGATTAACGTGCGTTCACGATTCCGCCCGTGCGCTTGAATTGTATTGCGATATTTCAAGGCAAAACGCTGCTGCTTATTAATTATCCTACACAGACTTTAACTATTAAAATGTCTTTGTCTATGCGTGTTGGCGTGTTGATGTATTCCTCGGAGCGTTCCGAGTAGTTTGATCGCGAAGGCGACAAAAGCACAGCGATTGACATATCATTATAATATCGTAATAATAAGAAGGAAATAATACGTCGCAGAAGCGTGTACATTATTGTTATCGAAGTATGTTATTAACATCTTTTCGCGTGTTACATGATATAATAAATATGTATTGTGCCTATATATATATTATATATAATATGTATAAATCGACATTCAATTTACGGTGGAAGCTTCCTTACGAAAATTTTAGTTATTATATAAATATATAATGCTTCTAGGTTACCTATTCAATACCACTGCAGTGGGATAGTGGTAGGCTGATTTCTTCCTCTTATTCTCCTTATCTTATATTGCTCTACCATAAAAATAGTAAACATTTCATTTAATTTAAAACAAACGCAGTTTTGGTAAAATAAGCTAGGAAATATAAGATTGGTTAAGAAAAAGTTAAAAAAAAAACAACAAAAATGATTAATTTAATGTCTACATACATATATCTATTAGCTATTGTAGTTTTGTGCATGTACAAGGCTAACACCGTCGTAAATTCTGTCCATTTTCTAAATTAATTGCGTTTATGCTAAACCCATAAATTAATTTTATAAAAAAATAAAAATACAATTATAAGTTTATTTTTCATAAATAATTAAGAACTAATTATGTACAGTAAATACAATAAATATTAAATATAGTAATAAAAACACTTTTTAGGGGTTTTATAATATTTGAACATACCACAAAAATTTATCATAGGTATATAAAAATAATGATTTACTTTGGTTTAAAGAATTTACTAGTCAAGCTTCCTACTGGAGCTTCGACAACTAAGAATAATATTATGGCCATGATATAACTTTTTAACGCATCATACAACCAAGCATCCAACTAAAAAAAATTAATTAATATTTTAAAATTAGACGTCAATTATTTTTAATTGTATTAATTTTGATTACTGTGTTTACTATATATGCTAATAAACGAACTTCAGTCTTACCACAGTTCGTTTTGAAAGATAACTTGGTGCTCTTTGTCGACTCTGCGATATCATCATAATAGTGAGGTTGACTAAAAAAACGGAATAAGAAAGTCTCCCCATTGGTACAATAAATCTATTATTAAGGAGTTTTGTTAGTAGACCTGTAAGCAATAAGTAATTCATTGTATATATATAACATGTATTTTTCACTATCCCAACTATAATGACTACCAGAGTCCTGTTAATAGTTGATTATATTTTTAAATCATATCATGTGTTTATATTTTATAAGTTATATATTGCTGGACTTTTAAATAACGCCCATTAAGTTTTATGAAAAATAATTAGCCATTAGATATGTATAATGGTACAGTAGTACCTAGTAAATAGGAATAATTAACATACGCAAGAAGTAAATACGTATAGTTATGGTAAAAAAATTAGAAAACAAATCACTTGCATGGTGCATTTTTTATTACTCTTAAAATATTGCAATTTCTTATGCAAATAATTAGTATATATGCACAAATATTTTCGCGATTCGCACGTTTTTAAATTTTGCAGGAAAACAAAAATTACCGGTGAGAGAGTGACATGTGAACCTTGGGTTTGGCTGTGAAAATGTATGTTAATCATGTGCTTGAAATTGGTACAAGAATAAATTTTTATATAAATATATTTATGTCTGGTTACTCACGGTAATTTTTTGTTTTTCTGCAAAATTTAAAAACATGAAAATTGTGAAAATAGTTATTCAAATTCACGCTGATTGCATGCTATTTACACATAAAAATTGCATTATTTTAAAACTATGGAGGAGTAGGGAAACGTACGTATTCAAATTAAGGTAAAAATATAAATATTTAAATTTATGAGAATAATATTTTCAAAGAGAAAAAATAATATTGGAAGAGTTTATTCACAATAATAGATATTTAATGATATTTGTCATGAAACTAATATTTTTTTTGTAATTGAACAATCAAATTGCGTGGATGTTGAAATAATAGAAAAGTATATCAACAAGTTAAGTGTTTTATTTTTATTTGTATTTGAACAAATTTTTAAACTTTTAAGATCAAAAACAAAATACTAAATACAATGTGAAGAATCTGGTAAATTATCATATTGTGTAACTTCATATATAAACTTATTAAATTCATAGTTCACTTATAACACTCAAAATGTTATGTAAGACTATCAAACTATCGTATGTTGTGTGGTCAAAATTTAACTTACCATATCCACTTGTAAAGTGGCAAGTAAGCACCCAGGCAAATAATATTACCCATGTACAATGATTTAAACTTGAATATAGAGCTTGTTCTAATAGATAATAAGGCCTATTTCTCTTATAAAATATAGCTCCATAAAATTGAACCCATAAACAAATCACGGCAATAGTAAAAGTTCCAGCATAGACAGTCATCTAAAATATCAAAAATGTATATTTATAGTTTCAATTCACGTATAAACTGTTAAACAATATATGTAGATACATACTTGTGAGAATTTTACTTTGTTTTCCTTTAATTTATCAATGATTACACCTATTGCTATACCTGTGAAGAAAGGAAAAGCTCGCATGTAACTTGCTCTGTATGATTCATTAAATGTTATGGAATATCTTGTGTTTTCTAAGAATCTAAAAATAGTTTTATATTTAAAGTGTGTTATTAGAATTTAATAATAAATTTCACTTTAATTATTAAAATGTTTAAATAATGCTAAAAACTCAATACTCAATCTTATAGGTACTCATATTCAATAAGCGAAATTAATATTATTATAATTTATTTATTAATTTTTTAAAAGCACAATAGTAAGAATAAAATACTTGTATCAGTATATTAGGTAATCAAAATGATTAAATAATTATAGATTAATAATTTTTGTATCATAATAAATTTAACTCACGGTAGAAGTATTTTAACTATTCCCTCCCTTTTCGTCAAAATCGTGATTATAAATGGCACAGTTATTGACACACCAAGCATTGCAATGATAAATCCTATCCCAAGTTTAACGTTCTTTGTGTAAATGTAAACAATAATAATTCCAAGTATACAAAACTGAACATCACACGATATGTACCAACTTACTATGAGACACTGCAATAAGTAATAATTAACAATTAAAAAAATTACACGTTTTTAAGTCTTTACTTAGCGTACCCAAATTTTAATAACTATTAATTTTTGAGATTAAAATAAGTCCTATGTTTATTTAAGTTTAATAATAAAATGTTCTTAAGCACTTACTTCGTACTTAGTATCAATTAAATTACTTATGAACAACATGTTGGTCCACCAATAATTTTTACATATATCGGCTTCGTCCCAGGTTTTATAAGGCCATAGTGGGCCGTCTCCAAGGTGAGGTACGATATTAGCTGTGATCGCCATCATGGTACAATAAGCCGGTAATATTCTAAAACGATTTTAGAATATATGTTAATGACTAGGTGTATATAAAAGCAATCGCGTAGCTGACGGAAATGCTTATTAGACTCGATACGTCAGGACTAAAGAGTATTAATATTTGATGTAATAATAACTCAAAAATATTATATTACAAAGATAAATGCTATGGAATATGTCCAATGTATGATGTTGAGCTAATGTTTAATTTAACCACGGATTTTGGCTAATGGCAACATTTTGGATTTCAGATATCAATAATAACAATATTATTTTGCAACCAAGTGTGGCTTCTAATTAAAATATTTTATTTATAATATACATTAATAATAAAATTATTTCATTAAATATATTATATATATATTTTTTTTATTATTGATCTTATTTTAAGCCTGACAATTTAGGCCATTAGCTGTGGATAGAAACAGTAGGTTTTTTTTTGTGTAAGGTTTACTTGTAAAGTTTAATTAATAGAGTGGGAACACGTGTGTATGTGTGTGCGTCATGGATTCGTTACTAAGAACTCGGGTGGTCACCTATCCGAGAACTTGCCACGCCGGCCAATACTTGAAATATATATATTTTTTAAGTATGTACCAATGTATATTTAACACGAATGAAAAATTAAGTCGTGATTTTTCTTTCAACTATTGAAAATATCTTAAAAATACACATAAACCACAAAAAATATCGTAAAATTACAAAAAAAAAAAAAACCTAAAAGCTTATAAATTTAATAAATGCAAAAAATATTAGTTTTTTTATTAATTATTTTTATTTGTATACGGCTGAACAGTGTGAACTGCAACGTATTTTTAGTTAGAAAATAATTTTTTACGACAAAAAAATGCATGTTATCAACTTTTTGAATTGTAAATATGATAAATATAAATTTTAATTTTTACAAAGTTGTTTTTTTCGGTCTTAATCCAACTACAGTTTTTTAGTGGTTTTATAATTTATATAATGTTAAGTTTTTGATAATTATTATAATATTATCCACTTGTATTAGTGGCTGAAATTTGAAATATTATTAGTCTAAAGCTACAATTAAGTTTAACATTATCCAAACATTGAATATTATCTGTAACATTTTTTTATTTATAGAATATTACTTGTATAGTATTGTTTATTTTTATGTTAAATTTTTGAATAAAGTATAGTATATTATTGTTAATTATTTTTTTGGTACGTATTATTTAAATGATTTTACCTGATTATTCTATGGACAATTGGCATTATAAGTTTAAACCAAACTGATTCCTTTTTTAATTTATTAAATACCGGTATTACTGTCATATATATCAGAAAACCAGTCATAAAAAAAAACGGGTCAGTTATGTTCATTCCAGTCAAATAAATATCATGTCCATTGAGGTACATCTGTAATTATAAAATTATATATTTATGTAATATTTTATTTTTACAGGAATTTTTCTAAAACACTTTAGAAATTTGGATTAAAATGTAGGTTAAAATAGGTTTTAAGCACAGGTAAGATTATTTTTCAAGAAAAACTTAAGTACTGTCAAGAAAATAATAAAAACAAGTTTTTTAAAATTTGATTGTAATTTAAGTATTACTTACATATTATTCAAAATATAAAATGTTCCATCATGTTTTTAAAATTCTAATTTAACTGCTCTTCCCCTAATTTTATTTTATTTAAGAAAAATAATATTGATAATCAGCGATAGTAAACTGCGCCCAAAATATAGATAAACCCAAAATCACACAAAATAATTACAAATATTAGAAATAATAACATATTGTTGTAACATAATATTCATAAATAATTGTAGTTTGACCTCTATTATATTTATTAATTAAATTTTGTAACTTTTCGAGTTTTTTTTTGTTTTTGTGTTAAAATGTAATAATAGCTATTTGATAACGTGTTGGTATTTCTAGACAAAAATAAAATTTCTGTGATATAATTGAAAAATAACACAATCATAAAGACTTTAGTAAGTCAAAAGTTTTGTATATTTTATCAACAGGACACAGCTTAAGTTGTTGGGCGCAGTTTAAATATGCCCTAAATAATGTCATCACTTACATTTTCTATGAATTTAGGATTACTTATTGGATTTCCAACTAAATACTTAAATCTGTGACCCAATAAAATTGGTAACATCATAAACGCTTTCCAACCATTAAGTAAATTAAATTCGTTTTCTTTATCGTATTTCAATAATATTTTTCCCGACTGAATAAAAGAATAGTCATATAAAATCGATTTTAGAACTTCTTCTGCAGATAAAAAAAAAAAATAAAAATACATAAATTAAGTAAAATTTGTTAATTTTTATAATTAGTAAAAATAATTATATTTGTATGTTATTTACTTTCGCCTTCATTTTTTTTTTGTTGGCGTGATAACGCTATATAATGATGAGTTGTTGCCACACCACAAATTAAAAAAATTACTCCGAAAATTATGCTAAGACAACAAAAATAATTGATTAGTAGGTATGAATTAATTAATTATTTTTTTATAATTTCTAATCTTTCTTTTGTGTATAATTCTTGTTTATATAATTTATAAGCTAAGCATTTGATACGCTTTTATTATTTATTAATTCAGTTTGATATTTTAATGCAATTATTTTTAAATATGCGATTTATGATAAAGAATACATTTATAAATATTTAATAATAACAATAAAAAAAAAAATGTATTACATAGTTAAATAATATGCTGTATCGTAGGGATACATGTCTCCACTAACAGTGCATAATATCGGATTCACATTAACAACTGCTTTGAATTGTTCTGGTAAAAACACTTTGTTTAATTCATTTTGCAATGATATTTGAAGATCTGATGCTGAACAAGAGTTTGGAATGCAGATTCCCAAGTTTAAATTATTTCGTTGGACTTGATCTGGATAATCAACCCACTGAAATAGTAAATCTATAAGTAATTTATTTTTAATAATACTTATACTACAACAGGTATTGGATTTTAAATACTAATCTAATTTTATTTAATTAACAGAATATAATTAATAATTAGGTGTAGATTTTACAATAACTTTATTGGTATGCAATAAGTATTTACATACAGAATCACTGCAATTTAAATTGAGTGTTTGATATAACTTTAAACAAACTAAGTATAACAAATTTTTATTTATTTTTGAAAGTCATATGATTAACTGAAAAAATATGAAGTAATATAATGTATAATAATAAATTATTATTAATAAATTTTGTTTAAGACTTAACGCTTTAAATATAAATCATAAATATATAATTATTTATTATTTTTACTGGTATTCCAGATTTTTTAAGTATTTTAACATACCCCGAGAATTGTTTTCCATGCATGATTGTTACCAAAATCATCTAAATTCTCCGTTCTGTTAAAACTATAATTTTTTCCCGTTGGTGGAATTAATTTTATTTCAGTAAGACAATACTGGCCTCTTATTGGATGATGTACATCAACACATTCATCATAGACTCCCATTTGATATTTATTACCCGCTAGTATACCAACGGGATACCGGTTCCAAGATTCTGACACTGAAAATAAATATTTTACTATGTAAGAAAAGGTTATATATCAAATAATAAGTATATAGTATCCTTTTAATGTTTTAAACCAGTTATTTGGTACATCCTTTAGGTTTTAGGTCTTAACGTTTTAACTATTGACTTAATTCTGTCTTTCCATATGATGAATCGACGTACAAAATTACTCGTATATTATCTTGTTTATAATATGTAAAATTGTAATAACATTTTTTGAATAGTATTATTGGTATTTTTAAAACTTTTTATCATGCAATGTTAAACGGATACATAATGTATCCAACCAGTGTAGTAGTTTTGCTATTGATATTATACCTTAGTACTTAGTTATTATATTATTTAATGTATTTAAATTTTAAATTATTATGTGTATTTAAAAATAATTTTATTGTAGAAATTAAATGTTATTAAAAGTGAAGGGTATGATATTAAGTTATAGCTTAAGATGTATGGAAAGGAAATTGGTTATTAGCCTGAACATTTTATTTTAAAATATTTGAATTTTTTGTGCATTAATTGATCTTTTAGCTGAGCACTATGTTTATATATATATATCACATTCATATGGGTTTGAGTAAAAGGTAAATAATATATGTTTTAGTACGCATGTTTATGTATTTATTTAAAGACTACAAGTTGATATAGTGTAATTAAAAATTAATAAGAATGTTTATATATTATCAAAGGTTATTATAATATCATATATTAATCAATTTACTGATCAGCATTTTATCAAAACATCACGATAAATTTCTAAATCAATGTAAAATTACAAAGTTCGATATTGAATTATTTTCAACATCAATACAATTTGAAAATTGAAACACAATCAAGGAAAAAAAAGTTAACTTAGCAAATCTCTTTATATTCAAATTATGGTTATTAAACATATAAAAAATATTTAGGTATCGAAGTGTCTAGTAATATGCGTTGAAGGAAAAAAATAAACTTAGTTTCAAATAAAGTTAGGGAAATATTTTATGTGTTAAGAGAATTAATTAATTAATATATATTTTAAATAAGAGAAAATTATATAAAATAGTTATAAAATTTTCACTGAACCTATTATATTATAAAGAATCATTAACTATTGGAGCTAAAAGTGTTTTTAAAGATATTGTAAAAAATCAAAATAATTATGATAAGAAATTCTCTTAATAAGAATTTATTAATTTACAGTTAACTTATAAGAAACTTGTGCGCTTATAGTTAAAACATTATTTTACAAAGTTGCAGTAATTTATCGATTAAAATATAAATAACTTAACCAGTTTACTCATAAAGTTAATAGAGTGTTTGCAAAAAAAAAAAATATTTCATAGAAATATAAACATTAAATTTTTACAGGATTTAGATGACCAAAGTCATTAAACTAATGATTTTCTTAACCTTTTTGACACTACGTGGATTAAGGGTCATCTGGAATTTTTTTTTTTTTTGCTTTTAAGTAGGGATTAATTTTTACATATTTTTACTTTTTGAAATAATGAGGGGAGAAATTAAATTGTTGAAAATATAATTATATACGTTATGACTAGTATTTAAAAAATACATTCGGACTAATTTCTACGAAGTATTCAAATAAAAATAACAGAAGAATACAAAACCTGATTAACGCGCTTATATGCATCAATCAAAACTAAATAATTGTATATATTATTTCGATGGATATCACAAGTGCATTGTTAGTAAAATTAAAAACATAACGTTCTTAATAAACTTAATAAACTTAATTAAAGTGTAAAATATAACTAATGTAATATTATAATTTATAATATAAACATTAAATATAAAATTAATAGCGTTTAAATATCAAATATTAGGTGTATACTATGTTTAAGTATAATAAAAATATATTATGATAATGTATACGTACATTATTATATATCATACAATTTAACTACATGTATACATTTATAAGTAATATCATAAAATTTTTGTTCCGAATAATGTACAATACAGCCATTGTAAATTTCGATTGATATTGTGCGCATTTATAATAATTTAATTGTTAAAAACACATTAATATATTTAATTATCATGGTTTTACCTCGAGCAATAGTGTCGATTGTAATATAATTCGTGACAGCGAGAGTGAATGGGGGACTGACTGACGAGGGTAATAAACTCATAACTACTATAATATTCGTATATACAACATGTAATAGTCTGTTCTAATAGTATTTTAGAAATATTATTAAATGTTTTTTAGTATTTTAAACATTTGTTATTTATAAAGTGATGTTTAAATATTTTTTAAATTCGGTTAAAAAACGTATTCAATTTATTTTGAATTTACATTTTTTCTGCATTTTTGCTTCTGAAACATCTATTTTTTAATTGACAGTTGACGCATGTCATTATTACTTCATAGGTTTAATATGTATGGATTTTATCATTTTAATATTAAACTCTAAAAATTTCACGGGGATTCATTGCTTAGTTATAATAGAACTATAGCATGGTAATTGTTATAAATGTTTTAATGAAGAAATATTATAGTTTTTCGTAATCAATAGTAAATTTTATACATAATTTAATAAATAAAAATACATTGTTTTCCTAGGTTAATAATATAGTAGTTTCCTATAGATAGTTTTCCTATATTGTTTCCTATAGATTTTATTCATAAGTGCAACATTTGATGTTGTATTACACACGATTATTTTTGAAGATATTTTAGATTAAATTTAGTTAACATTTATTACATTTTATATGCTAACGATTTTAGTTATTTGTTGAAATTTAAAAGTATTATTCGTTGGTATTTGAAACTTGAAACTTTATTGTGTATAATTTATTATATTTTATACACACAAAGTCATTTTAAAATATAATTTTTGCTTTGATACCATCGGGCGATTGTAAACTCTCCCGATGGTACACTCTCCCGGGTCTACTCCAGTACTACCTGACGGAAACGTGTAAACTCTCCCGGATTTATTCCTGTACTACCTAATGGAAACATGTAAACTCTCCCAGGTCTAGTAAAAATCATAAAATAAATTTAATATACATTTAAGTTTCTTTAAAAAAAAGTCAATAATAATAATATAAGTAACCCGGGAGAGTTTACACATTTACTTCAGGTAAACATAATATTAACCCGGGAGAGTTTACCATCGGGGGAGTTTACTATTTTTAAAAATCGGGAGAGTTTACCTTCGCCCATACCATCAGTATCTTCAGTATCATCAGTAAATTAGTTGAATAGTAATATTTTTTACTAAAAACCGTAATTATTCGCACTTGTAATGGTGTATAATTATTACTTTGAAACTTATAAAATAATTTTAATGTATCACTGTTCTAAGGCTAGATAAGCTAGCGTGACCTGGTATTTTCATCATTTCCGGAATTAAAATTACAAAAATGTAATAACATGAATTCAGATCGACATTTTAATAAGTATAATGTTACTACGAGTAGGTATATGTTTAGACATATCTAATTAAAATTTTAGCAAGTTGTCATTATTTTACATTATAATTATAAATTATCTGGTTTTCTCACGTACACTGTGAACAACGGGTAATTTTAATTTTATTTTTTAAACTATACTCAAAACAGAGTAAACAAACATATCTCATTTTCTTCTATTTGTGTAAATTAATTTTTCTTTGTTTTAGATATTTTTGATACATATAATCTAGAATAATATTGAATCACTTTTTAATAATTATTCTTTTTAGTTCTTTTTAATAGAGTGAAGTATGCATTTATTTTACAATGATTGGTGTTTAATTTTTAATTTTAATCAGTCTAGGTAACGAGGTGGCGTGAGGGTGCTGAATTTTACGCAAGACTAAAATTGAGCCATATTGTATACTATTTTTTGTTGCGTGTCTTTTTTTCCTTGAAAATCACATTTATTGATGTTATGGTAATTTATAATGAACCGTGTTTTATGTTTTTGGTTTCTAGATACGCGAAAGTATTTCATAGAATTGTAAAACAGTTAAAATAACCCACCTATTAGCTAACATTTTACAAAATAGACAAAATAAGGGTTTTACTTTATAAAAATGGGCCTTTAAAAATTTGGGTAAGGGTATAAAAGATTTAAGTTCTTAAAGTACGTGAAATATCACTTAAAAACATACACAATATAATGCAAGTTCCTATAAGAAATTTAAATATAAATAATAATAATTTGTTTTGTTGTTGTTATTAGTTCTTTAAGGAAGTTATGATAATTAACATATAATTAAAAATAAACAGCTATTCATGCAGTGACGTGTCCAGCACAAAATAATTGGGTAGGCTTGTTTTGTTCTGTAATATTTTTATAATTATTATGAAAGATTTGTTCTGTCATATGGAATGTGAGTAGTGAATTTTTAGGTTTCCAATTTTGGCTGTTATTCTTTTTATAACATAGTTTATTTTTTTATTTTAAGAATATTAAAAAAACAAACAATTTTTAACAATATTAATTAAATACCAAGAAATATAACTTCAGTCTTAATTCAACAAGAATAACTACAAAATGTTTATTTAAAAAAAAATATCAGTGACAGTGGTATTGTAACTTGTACCTCGTCGTAAGACGACATTTAGACAACAGACAAACCTTCCAATCTCTATAAGCCAGGGAACAGTCAAACTTTTTTCGGCCGCGATCTACTAAAAATATACTTCATCTTTGAGGATCGACTTCGATAAAAAAGATTTTATTATTATTAAGCTACTATACCACCATAATTAATTTTCGTGTGCGTAGCCTAAAAATAAATTCTAGCAATCTAGCACGATCGACTTTAAAATCGTTTGCGATCGACTGTTTGGTTGCCCCCGCTATAAGCTGATAGTAATAGTATTGCCGCTATAGATATGTAATAATCCACAGCACCTTTTTATATTGTTTTTAATTATTGTAGTATCAGTGGTATAATAATAATAATAATAATAATAATAATAATAATATTCAATAATAAATATTAATAACATTTTTACTTGTGACAAAAAAAAAAAGACTGAACAGTCAAATAAAAATTAGGTAGGCCCGAGTCTAGTCGGCCTACCCTGTAAATTCTCCGCTATATTCATCTACCATCAAAATTTATTTTAAAGTAGCTTATTACTTCTGAGAAAACTGACTATTTATTTAAGCCCATATTGTCCTAACCTTTTAATCGTGTATTCAAAACTATATGAACGGTGTATTATTTTCTAGTTAATATTCAATAGGTATTTATAAAATAATAACCAAACATTAGAACAGATCAACAAATAACATAATAGTTAAAAAAAAAAAATAAATCGAAATATAAATAGCTGATATATTTACAAAAAAATACTATGTATATATGAATATAATTTACATGAATTCACACTTAATAATATATATAAAAATAATGAATTCTAACCACACCAACTGCCACAAGTTTTAGTTTTGGATCCTAATAAGTCTGCGTAAAGTAGAAAAGACATTTTTTTGCTAGTCTTTATAATTAAGAAGCTAACATAATATTTAACTTATTATACTCATGAAAAATTTATACTTTTATTTGCAACTTATATGTCACGTGTGACTTTATATACTGTTCTTAAACAACTATTTTGAACTAGATCCATACCGAGAATCTTACGTGATTACTCTACGACGTTAAATCAAATCAGAAAGTTTGACAACGCACAACTTCTCACTCACTAGATCTATATTCAAATTTATAAATGCTGCAATATACTATATTAGTACTATACTACTATATAATAAATATATGTTTTATTATAATATAAATTATGAAAAGTAGTAACGCATTATTCATCATGCACCGTATGTCGAGATTTAATCGTTTTGATCAAACACGCATAATATGATGGTTAATTTAATACAATGCATACTATATACCTAATAATGGTATAATACTAAGTAATACTCACTTCTAACAGCCCAACTGGTGTAATTTCGTAAACTATTGTCGTAAATCTCGGCATGTTTGCGGCAATCAATGCTCCCTACATGTCGCACAGTAAAATTTGCCAATGCCTGGTAAAATAGATCAGAGACCCATGATCCAGGAATATCGGTATTCGAAGTCTTCGCTGCAACGTTTAATGCCACAAAGGACTCGTTATTGGACGCAACTTGGCCGTTGGAGTACTCGGTCGATAGCAAAGCGAACAGCACGATCACAACTGCCGTGAACGGATAAACCGACATTTCAAAGCCGTTTACTTATAGATATACAAAAGATTTAAAGGTTGACAGAAGAAAAAGATTTGATCTCTATGACTTTATACATGTGCAGTATTATAATGTATAATGTCTATTAATTTTATCAATGCGAGAAAGGTGTGGCGGTCACTTGTAATTCGCATTAAAAACGCACACATTCATATTGTTTCTTCTCGTTTGATAATATACGTAAGATTTGGGTTTTAAGGTTTATGGAGAAAACTAGGATATGCGACGTCGGAATCTGCCGTTCAAGTGCATGATAATTATAGTATACCCCGGTATATAATAGGCGCCACGTGGTGGTACGCGTGTTAACAACCTTGCTAAAAACGAAAACATTATTCATCGTGGTATAGTGTAGCAAGGCAATACGTATTATGTATTTATTTGTATTACGAGTATTGCGGCAGTGTAAGAATTAGAATACTAATTTTTATTTCCCATAATAGTAATTAAAATAATATTTATCATAATTTTAGTATGCCTCATGTTTGTTAATATTATTGTTAATTAATAATTATTGAAATATCAGTAGGTATACATTATTTTCTAACTATTTTTGTTAAGTTAATTACATTAATACGTATACTGAATACTATTGATTAAGAATAATATAATTTACGAAAAACACGAAAATACAAATTACTTTATATGCCTAATTATTATTTGTAAAATATTTAAAATTTAATTTATAAGATCTTTATTATTAATTTTATAATTAGCAACTTATGCACTTATGTGAACAACTTAAACTTTATTTTTGATTTTCCTATTTTCTTAAAAAACACGAATAGAAACTGATTAGATTTCAATTATAGAAGTGACTGATACGTAATACTGATATACATATAACTATAAAACTAATAAACAATTTTAATTAATATCCATCTCGAATAGTGACAATTGTCAGTTGTTTATCATAATAAATATGAGTGAAATTAAAATTTTTAATCCTCTCTTTAGACATAGCTAAATATATGTTACGGGCAAAAGCCGAAATCGGGCAAACCTCAGAAATGCCCGGGCAAAACGCGAATTGCCCACAATTCTTGGGCAAAATGTCATATTTCGGCTTTTGACCGGGCAAACCTAATTATGACCAACATCATTTGGGCAAAACCGCCAAAACCGTATACTGACTTTCATCGTAAGGACAAAACCGTAGAGTTTTAAATACGTTCGCTAATATTATAAACAAATTTAATAATTATAAAATAAGTATTATTGTACAAATATATAAAATTAATATATTTAAACCTCACTTGAGTCAAACTGTAGCGTTTATTTAACTATATTTACATCATTCCTCATGTTTATAGTATGTCGGTACTGACATAAAAGTTAATAACAGTTAACATCATAATTTATATAAACATTTGTTAAACATACCTTATTAGTTATTAGTTATTAATATTAAAAAAATAAATTAATGTGTATCTACCCTAATTGAAAAGGCTACTGTAATAGATGTAACCACAAGATATACCTAGCATTTATTATTTTTTAAGAAAATACTATAGAAATCTATAAATAGGTCTTTGTAGTGTAATTAGCTCATTACTCATTAGCTTATTAGCTAATATTAATTTAAAGATTTAAAAAAAATTATTGTGCATTGAAAGGGACAATTTAAGTAAAAGGGAAGTGTTTCAAGTTTCTATAGTTATTATTTTTGATTTACAACAAAATAATGAAAAAGAATTAGGAGAATTCGTTATTTTTAATGTAAATATCTAATTCTGTCATCATTTAAAAATATATCTACCATAAAAAAGTTTATGGCTTTATGCTAAACTTTTTTCAATTTTTTTAAAATTTGACGACTTTATGAGGAACATCGTATTGCATTTTTAATCCTTTTTTTTCTAAGAAACAACATTTTTATTATAAATTAATAAAAAAAACTAAAAAGTGGAAAATTTTATAAGTTGTATTTTTTATATTTAATTATTTTCATAAAGTGCACTAAATATTTACTGAAAAATTAGTTTCTAAAATTGTTTTCAAGAAATCATACATAAAATCAATTTTGTTAAAAACTGTTTTTCCAAGTGAATAATTTTTCAATAGATAACACATAATTTTTCACTTTTAAGTTTTAACCCTCCTCCATCTTCACCAATAAAAATTATTATTGTTAATTATAAAAATAAATTTTTTTTTTAAATAAATAGTCTATAATAATAAAGAGAAATGTTATATAACGTATATTAAAATTTTGCTTTAAATTTACTCACGTCCTTGAGTTCAATAATTGTTATGAAGTACTATGATTATTTATGTTAAAATTAATTAAACCAATTTTTAAAATTATTAAGCAAGTATAAATTATCTATAGTAAATCTCTTTATTTTGTTGAATCTAATGTTTGCTTATATAACTTTTAATTATGATTAATGAATTATTAATTTCTGTTAAACTAAAATCCCGATGCTATTTAAATTATTTTATTTTTATTTTTTTATAGTGAACAAATTTCTTACTTTATTTCTATAACAAGTTTTAAATATAATATGAGAGAATATGATAATAATATTTAAGCAAGTATAAAATACACACCTATTCCTATGCTTAAACTTTTTTGTCTTTATGCAGTTGCAATCTTCCTATCTGTTTGCTGGAATATAATATTTAATGTAATAATTTTTATTGGCTTACAGAAAGCCGTACGTCGATCAAGAGAAAAAATGGGAGTTTTTTAGCTGCACGGATAAACAATGAATCGTAGATATCTTTAAACGAGAGTTTAAATATGAAGCAATTTTTTTTTCTAGAGATTACTATGGTAATACAATGATATTATACATCAGTTACTTGGGTCATTCTGAGTACCTACTGTAAAGAAAATTGGATTAGAAAAATAAAGCATTGTAACCAGCCCAAATATTTATGTTAAAAAGACAGTTTTAAAAAGAATTGATGATTTATCGTACCCGAGCTTCTTCAATAACTACCGTGAATTTTATGAGTACAAAAAAAAAATACTATTTATATTTTACTATGTTTATAGATATTATCTTATAAAACTGCTTTGTGACCATGACTGCGGGCCGGCCAAAATGTGTACGTGTAACACGTTATACCTAGAATACTAGCATTAGATATATAATCAGTTCATGATGAAATAATTACAGCACTAAATAGTAAATAGTAATTACTCTCCTTTCCGGTGTCTTGCCGGGTTAAATAAATATTTGTTTGTTATTTTACATGATATCAAAACATACACGTGTTTAAAATTATTTCAATGTTACACACGTCTCAAAATATTATTGTATTGTTATTAAAGTCAAACATACCTAATTAGTAATAAATTATAAATTTTCGATGTATAATAATATTATACAAGTATAAAGTATTTTAAATTCGTGTTTTTTTCTCTAAACATAGATAATATTAGATTTTCATTAGTAACTTAACAGTTAACGCTTCTAATTATTTTACATTTACATATTGGCAGGTCTTTCCGGGTTTGTGGCTCTCACCTACACCTCCACTCGTTAGGCTGATGGCCGACAAACGCTGCGGTTTCCTTTTTCTGCGGACCGTTTAAGCCTCTCGATAAGTCGTGAGACTCGCTGGTTACGGTACCACCGGCACTCTGACGAAATCAAAAACCCGCATGACGCTAACTCACGAACGGAAGTTCACTCACGGAGGTAAGAATTATGCCTTGACGTGTTATGACACGACTGTGTTTAACGTTATCGTTCGTTTCTGTCGTCGGTAGAAAATATTTCGCCAGTCAACTCCAGGCTACCGACCAGAAGGTTTAACCACTTAACAGTCACCAGAAGTGAAGCCTAGACACTCATCGCGAGATTTCGGAGACACGTAAGGATGTGACTAACACTGAGACGCTCGGCGGGTTACCCGCGATGTTAGATTTGCCAGTCACTATCTAAGCTATCCATGTATGCGAACAATCTGGGCAATGGAGGCGAGAGATCGACGACGTCGACATCCCCAACACTCGCATTAATTACGTATTAACAGTGTTAATACTAATTAGTTTACCTCACGTCAGTATTGAGCAAACAAATTATAAATAAAAATAACTGACTCGTTTATTGTTTTATTTTTTTTTATTGACTATTATAATATTGATATAACGTTTATCATGTTTCATTAATTCGTTGTATTTACGTTATTTCACGGCTGCGTCGAATTGGTTCCCATACCTGAAAATTGACATTTAAATATTGCATAAAGGATCAGAAAAAATTATTCGCTGTAAGTTGGCTCATTGGGCTAAATCCAATGTTAAAACCATAGATTCTCAAGATTTATGTAGAATTAATAAAAATAATATATTTTAGTCGGTGTACCTAGTACAGTACCAACGTTGCCCAAACCATTAACCGAGACAAAAAATTATTATAATTTAATGACTAATCGAGGAGAACATTTTTTATTAACAGTGCAGAAACTAATATTATTGAATTTTTATGTGATACCAATTTGGAAGTATTACATCAAATAAAAATTATGTTTATTGACGGTACTTTAAAAGTTGTCTTAAGTTTTTTACTAATTTTTTTGATTTATGGTGTAAAAAAATAGTACTTGATTCCATAAATTGGTGAACACAAGGTATATACATTTATAAGTTGAAACCTTTAAAAAAAAATCTTTTTTTATTTTTGATCTGGCCCCGAAAGTATCAACTGGATATGATTACTTACCAGAAATCATTCCCAAATTGAAAATCATAGCATTTTTACTGTTCTAAAAAAAAAATGATGACAGACAAAAAAACAACACATAAATTATTGTAAAATTAATACATATATATTAATCGTTTCGACAGAATATTAAACTATAACGGTACTATATAAAAATTACAAAAATATAGTTTTGTCTTAAGTAGCTTTATCTTGTAATTATTTTCAATTATTTAAACAAAATATTTCAAAATACCAGGATTATTTGAAAAAATTGGTGTTTAACTTTAAAATAATCACCCTATATAGTTATAGTTCTATCTCAATCAACAACTATTAATCAAGAAATTAATTTGATTAAAAATAGTCTACAGTATATAAAAAATCGTGTACAATATTATAAGCATATTGAAGCATACAATTATATTAGTATGCAATTGGTATGTTCTAAAGATTGTTGTCTTATTGACGGCGCCTTGTATATGCAATTCGTATACTATTGTATTAACACAGCATATTATTTTAAAAGAATAACTCATTACTAGCTTACAACAATTATTAATAGAAAATGTTGATTTAGAACCTGTGATTAGGGGATTATTATGTGATATTTCAATTGATAGATCACATGCATAATTTTTCAAAGACCATACACGGACTGATATTTTAATAGTCTTCTAGAGTCTACACTACTGATGTAAAGCAGGAACTGGAGTAGAATATGAAAGATGAATAAATAAAATATTGTATCATATACAATACACAGTATATTATGATTTATGATTGTTCATTTTTTCAAAAGTATACAACCATAACTTAAATATTATATAGTTTTATCATTATGGTATTTTACTATTGTAACAATAATATATATTATTGTTACATGACACCTGTGTATATGACAATTCCGTAGTAGGCAATAATGGGATTTATGCTGAGATAAACATTGTTAATGATTGTGAGGCCTGTGGTCAATACGCACTATTTATCGAAAGGGCAGTTCGAGACTGACCAGCAACAAACACGAACTCACCAACAAATATGAACTCACCAACACTACCATCTACATTTTGTTAAGTACAAACCAAAAATATATTTTGAACAGAAATTTATAAATCAAACGTGTTTTTTTATTGATAAGATCCCACATACCGTGTTTTAATCCCCTAGCTACGCGAAATTTATCCATAAGGACCAGAAAACCTTCCCTGGATAAGTAATATAGTAACTAGGTTCCCCAGCCACGTTACACTATGAAACACCATTATCGTATTTGTATTTTACTATTGTAATATACATATAAATATTATATATTCTAATCCCTAGACAGCTAGACACATGTGGCATTATACATCCATTTTGTATTATTATGGAGTCCTCGCATAAGTATAAGCGTATGTGTTCGGTATCTAAAATTTTAACAATTTTTATAAAAAAAAATCGTATTAATATATCTTTAATATTTTTGAATAGATTATGAGGCCTCTTATACTAAATTTTCAAAATTTAAGTAATTTTAAGAATTTTAAAAACTTATTTATATGAAATAATTGTAAATTTTTGTATTATTAACGAATTTTATCAAAATTCTGGTTTTAAATAATCATAAAAAAAAATATGGTAAAAATATATTTAATCCGGTATTATAGTTATATGTATATTTATAAGTTAATAATTTTATTTTTATTTTACGTTTAAAAATACAATTTTACTAAAATTTAAACTACAAGTATAGATACTCATAAAA